ACAGGTGGACCAGGTATGAAAGGAATTTACTGCAATGGTGGCTGCAATGTGGCTATACTGCAATGGTGGCTGTAGTGCAATGGTGGCTGCAGAACTGTGGAAGAGGAGTCAACAAGAAATTTATTTCAGAGAAAAAATCAGAGCAGTTGGCAAAACTCTGCAGAGAAGGCCAGAAGAAGTAGGAGGAAGGGATTCAGCATGACTCTGAAGGTTTTGGGTTTGGAGAACTAAGGAATGAAGCTGCCTGAATGAATGCGGATATTCAGAGAGGAAGCTTGCTGGGTGGGTAGGCTGGCTGTTTGCCTGTCCTTCTCCCATCTGCTCTGTGTCACAGGGAGCTACATTTCTCATCATTCTTTGACATTTAGTTTAAGAAAGCATTTTTGGAAGATTGAAGAGTGGCGGAGAGGAGAAGTTGGAGAGTATTCCTCATTCCCTCCTCTAAACTCGTTCTCCTTGAGCATCTCCCATCTTGCAACTAAGTCTCAGATCTATGTTTTTTCATACCTTCTCTTCTTATCTGTACATCAACCCACATTCCACTCATCCACTCATGTCTTCTCTCTCCTTCCTCTTCTTCAGTCTATCAGTTAGAATTCACCCAGCAAAACAGAAATCCTACTAGGTGTTCCTAGACATTGGAAATTTGAGGTTGATATTGGGGAAAGAACTAATACCTTTGTTATGGGATAGCTATATTATGAAAACCTTTTACTGTAAACTCTGTGGAAGAATGTGACTTGGCTCATGGTGCTGCCAAATTCACTTAGTCATGAGCTCTGGCTTTAAAAAATGTGAAGAAGTCTTTATGACCTCTGGTTTGTTGTCTTCTACAGAAGCTTAACTGTAGAGATTGACACCTGTCTTAGTCTGTTCAGGCTGCTGTAACAAAATACCTTAGACTGGATGATATATAAAGAATGAACGCTTGTCACAGTTCTGGGGGTTGGAAAGTCCAAGGTTAAGATGTAGTGGATTCAGAGTCTGGTAAGTGGTCATTCTCTGCTTCCTTGTTGCTGTGTCTTTGCATACTGGGAGATGCATGCTGTGTCCTCACATGCCAGAAGGGATTAAAAAAGGCGTACTTGGTCCCTCAAGGCATTTTATAAAGACAGTAATCTCATTGATAAGGGTGGGACCTTCATGGCCTAATTACCTCCTAAAGGCCCCACTTCTTAATACTATTGCATTGAGGATTAAGTTTCAACAAGGGTTTTGGAGAAACACAAACATTCAAACCATAGGAATACAAAAGGAAAGCTACCCTAAGTCATAGGCCCATGGACTCTTAGAGATGGAAAGAGTCATTTTACAGAGGGTCAAACTGAGGCCCAGAAAGACTCAGGCCATTTGAGACCAATGCATATGGGCTGCATTGAAGAAAAGTCATTTTTAACACAATCAAATGTCATGGAACCAGAAGAGCTGTCTCTCTCTCTCTTTTGCACATGATCTTGACTTTTCAGAACAGGTATTGATCTTTTTAATGCAGGACAGTGGGAGGCCCAGTACAAGACTCAACAAATGTTTTAATACACAAATGGTGAGGAAGAGGTGATGAGTCTGACAGCCTGTGGACTCAGAGTTGGAGGATTTTATGGAAAGACATTTCAGGGAAAAAAGTGATGCTATTTCCTGAATTAAGATCTTCTACATCATTAAAGAAGCCTAGGCAGCATAGGTAGACCCTGTCTCTACAAAAAACAAATGAATAATTTGATAGCTAGGCATGGTTGTGCATGCCTGTAGTTCAAGCTACTTGGGAGGCTAAAGTGTGAGGATCACCTGAGCCTTGGAGGTTGAGGTTGCAGTGAGCTGAAATGGTGCCATTGTGTTCCAGCCTGGATAACAAAGATTTTGAGACCTTTTCTTAAAAATAAATAAATAAGCTTTTCCAGGGTAGCCACAGCATGCACAGTGGGAGCAAAGGGGTAGTGAGGCTAGATGATGAATCAGTTGGAAAGATTTTGAGCTCAAGAAGCAGAAAACTCAACTTTCTTTGGTTGAAGCAATAAGGATGTTTATTGACTTGCAGAACCAAAAATTTAGGTGCAAGGTAAGCTTTACAGATGACCAAGCTTTGTATCTCTGTGTGCATTTCCCTGCAGTTCTCTTGGCTCTGTTTCCTGTGTGGAGCCGTTTCACACTCAGGTGAATATGGCGAGGCTGTAGTTCTCCTCACAGCTCACGTCTATGCATAATGACACCAAAGGACAAGAGAGAGGATTTTTGGAAGCTCTCCCAGAAGATGGAGGAAGGACTCTTTCAGCTCTTGTCCTTGCTTTCTCTTAGTCTGTTTCCCAAACAGCAACCAAAGGGACCCTGTTGAAACATAAGCCAAATCATGACACTGTTCTGCTCAAAACCCTCAGGCAGCCTCTGTATAAAAGCTGGAGTCCTTTCCAGACCTACAGTGCCCAGCAGGATCAGTCGGCCTCAGTGTCACCTCTTTGACTTCCTCTCCTGTTCTTGTCCCTCTTGTCCACTCTACTCCAGCACACTGACCTCCTTGCTGCTCCTCAAACGTGCTAAGCCCATCCTTCTTCAGGACCCTTTGCCTGAAATGCTCTCCCTACAGACTTCATTTTGACAAATCCCTCACCTCCCTTGAATGGCCTTCCCTGAGGACCCTATTTAAAAATGCAGTCCTTGGACTTTCATTCTTTCCGTCTCTTCTTTACTTCACCTTGTTTCACTGATCATCATCAAACATGATAAATATTTTATGATTTATTTGTTTACTGTCTGTCTCTCTTCACAGAGTCATGACTTCTTTCTATCTCCTGCATATAGTAAGTTCTATAGTCCCAGCATTTAATAGCAGTGCCTGGAACATAGTAGGTGCTCAGTAAGTATTTGCCAAATAAATAAACAAAGGTCTCTCTCAAGCTTCTCCTTTTCTTTCATTGGCTTGGTTTGGTCACATGACCTTTACTGAGTCAATCATTGCAAGGGTTTTGGGATTCCTTCCAATCAGATTTGTCCCTGGAGCTGGGGGCGGGGTTAATTTCCTGTGAAACACTTGGCTTCATGCAGACCTGGACAAAAATCTGGATTATTTTAGGAAGAAGAAGAGGGGGAAATGTGTTGGTTAGGCCACCCACAGTGTCAACCACAGATGGTGCTGGCCCTTTCTGAAGGCCTCACTGTGGCCTCCTGTGCATGTCCCACCTCCCCCTCAGAGAGCTTTTCACTCTCTGAGCAAAAAGATGATCACGATGATGAGGACCTTCCCTCTGAGATGTATGGCTGTTGGGAATGGTGGGGGAATGACAAGGGGGAAAGAAGAAAAATTGCAATGATAAAACGCCTTTGAGAAGCAGTAATAAAGCCTGCAAAATGAGAAAATCACATGCAAACCCCAGATTGCAACTTCAGAGGTGCCAATGGCAATCCCAAGCAAGCACTTTTCTTGAATGACAGTCTAATTTTACCATTATTGCAGAGAGACCCACTTAAACATAGGCGCTCCTCTGCGTGGGCTTCTGCATGTTAATGTCTGTGAGTGATAAAGGTCTGAGTTGTCCATTCTGCCTGGAAGCACAATGCCCTGTGAGGAGCTCTGGCATGTACGACCCTCAGCCTGCCTTAGGAACCACCATCAAAGCTGGGGCTCATCCTAACAGTCAAGCACCATCTGCAGCTAGAGTCAGTGAGGACATTCACTTTTGCTCAGTAACAACTGTAGAGAGAAGATCTAAACGAAGCTAAACTCACATCATGAATGGCTCCATTCAGCACCAGAGAAGGTTCAGCATATTCATTTTTTGATTTGATAGTAGATTATTCAGTGCACGCTATGTGGTAGACACGATTCTAGGCACTGAGGATACACTCTTGCCTCTCTACTGAGCCAGGCTGCTTGTGTAAAAATGAAAACCCAAATCCTGTCCCCTGCTTAGAAGTCTCCTTATAAGGACCCTATGTCTCCTTATCACACTGAGGAGAATCCCCAAATCCCTTAGGCAGCTCCTGCCCACCTTGCCTCCTTATCTCCCTCCCACCTGGCTGACCTTGGAGGTTCCTGTGCTCCAGTGTTATCCTGGCCGCCCTCTTTCTGCTGCTCTCTTGCTTCATGCTAGTTCCTGCCACAGGTCTTTTGCACCTTTTGGTTCTATCCCCTGGAGCAGTCCTCCCTTGCATCACCCATGGCCAACCTCTCCTTATACAACTGTTGCTCAATGCTGTGTTGTTAAAGATGCCTTGCTTGACTAATGCTATACCACACACCAGGGGTGGCATTAAACATCTCCAGCGACAAGGTTGGTACAATCACTGGGTAATCCAAACAGATGCTAGCCATTTACAGCTGGGACAGCATATGTGTATAACGGCTGAATGCCATCCAATCACACACAACTTTCCAGTCAGTAAATCAGCCAGTTACATTCATTTCTGTCATACTACCTGCCAGTCTCTGACATTATCTCCCTCTTCCTTCCCCCCACCCCAGCTTTCTATTTTTTAATTGCATGCACCCATTAAAGCAAAAGTTTGTTTTGTTCTTTGTGCATTACAGCATGGCAGTGCCTAGTTCTGAGTCTGTCACAAAGTAGGCTCTCCATAAATACTTGTTGAATGAAAGACCAAAACATCTCAGCCCTCAGATAGCTTATTCTGTGAGATGGGATTAGCGGTGGCAGTTTTAGAGGTGCACACGTGGACCAATGAATTGCCTCAGAATTCTGAATTGTGAAATAAGAAAGTAACTCTGAATTGGAGGGAATGATCATGACCCTGTGAGTGGCTGGGAGAGGGCAGCTCTGCATAGCTTCTGGGATGATAAATCTGGGACAATGTCTGCAGGATAGATGATCTGCAGAAAAGGATATAGTTCTTGAAGACTTTTTGCCATGTCGCTTTGACCCTGAGCTGCAACAGCACTCACTGTCTTCCTGCAGTGTTGGTCTTTCTGTAGAGTCTGAAATGAATATGGCTCTTAAATATCTTAAATATCATCTTTAATGATCCTACCTAGAATGTCTTAATTATTTTTTTAAAAAAATATGGAAGATTTCACAAATTTGTGTGACATCCTTGCACAAGGACCATGCTAGTCTTCTCTGTATTGTTCTAATTTTAGTATATATGCTGCCAAATGATGCCCTTGTGAGACAGGTAGATGAAATCAGCTTCATTTTGCAGACCAATAAACTGAGAGCTGGGCACAGTGGCCTGTGCCTGTAGTCCCAGCTAATCAGGAGGCTGAGGGAGGGGCATCACTTGAGCTTACAAGTTCAAGGCCAGCCTGGGTAGTATAGTGAGACCCCCATTTTTTAAAAAAAAAACACCCAAGAAATTGAGACCCAATGAGATTAGATGACTTCCCCAAGGATACAGAATGAGGAAGAGGCAGAGACAAAGCCCAAACATTGTATTTACACTGCACCCAATGTGAGGTTTTTTTTTTTTTGAGACAGAGTTTCGCTCTTGTCACCCAGGCTGAAATGCAATGGCATGAGCTCAGCTCACTGCAACCTTCACCTTCTGGGTTCAAGTGATTCTCCTGCCTCAGCCTTTGAAGTAGCTACAATTATAGGCATGAGCCGCCATGCCAGGCTAATTTTTGTATTTTTAGTAGAGACAGGGTTTCACCATGTTGGTCAGGCTGGTCTCGAACTCCTGACCTCAGGTAATCCACCAGCCTCAACCTCCCAAAGTGCTGGGATTACAGGTATGAGCCACCACTCCCAATCACATTAGGGCTTTTGGGGTGTCCATCACTCAACTGATCCACTTCTGGTCTTCTCTAAGGAGATGTTTATTTTGTTTTCAAGTGAGTCTTAAGTGAGAACGATTTGTGAGCTAACCACAGCACTGTCTTGACTGTCTGTACCATTTTATGCCTTTTGAAAATCCTTTCATAGCTTTAAAATTGACATTATATTGAGATAATTGTAGATCCACATGCATTTGTAAGAATTAATAGAATGATCTCATATACCATTTATCCAGTTTCTTCCAATGATAGTATTTTGCAAAACAGTAGTACAATAGGATATTGACTCTCTCACATTTTTAAGAAAATTTAAAAAAATGCACTCAGGGAGCTCAGGGGGCAGGACACACACCTCTGCCCTTGGGCTGTGCTCAGCTTCCCCACCAGTATGGCCAATGTGAACTTCTTGATAACAGGGACAATGTATCTCTTGCTTTGTGTCTGGTCCCCGGTGTGGAGTAGACTCAAGTAGACTTCCTGCTTCCACAGACTTAGTAAGGAAAGTGGACAGAGCCATGGAGCCTCTAGATGGTGGATGTATGTCAAGAAAGCAGCGCTGCCAGGCTCTGGGTGACCTTGGGCAGATTTTGTCCTTTCACAAGCCTAAGCCTTCTTAGCTGTAAAATGAAGGGCTGGATAATGTCGGTAAGAATCTTTCCAATTTTGATATAGGATTCTGTGATGTCAAAAATAAGAGAGATTGTATTATTGCGGATTGAAAAATAATTATCTTTTATGTACCACATGTAACTTTCTATTTCTCAGGCTACCTGTTATGTAGCATCAACATTGCCTCATATATCAGACACTGCTGTAATAAGTATGCAATTTGCAGCCGCAATTTCCATTTTATGGCAATATCTGATTTACATGAGGTGTTTCTAAAGCATGTCACTTATAACGTACACACCTGCCAAGAGCCTGCTCTTTCATAATGACTTTTCAGCGAGGTCAGAGAAAGCACCCAAATTCAAGTAAACAAACAGCAGGAAGCTTTCAACACCAAAGCTTCTTTTCCACCCTGGGGAAGGATGTCACCACCCCTCAATAGAGGATGGTGACAAACCTCCCACATTCAGACCTGCCTAGGTGGATCAAGACTGAACCCCTTTCTAGCAGGCACTCTTGAATTCCAGTTGGAGAGGAGAGCGATTCACAGGCCTGTGTATGCAGCAGATGAGGGGCTGTTTGTGGAAAATTAATTAGCTAAGAATCAATGCACTGAATGACCAGTTCATTGAGTGTTCAATTCCATTGGTCATTTTGATAGAAATTTGAAGATGAATATTTAAGAGGTGGAGGCAGAGGCAGGGTAATAGGTAGTAGGGGCATGTAGAAAAAAAAGTATGAATTTGCTAAATTCATCAACTGCTGGACTTTTGGAAAATCAGTTTCTTTGCATGTTGGCTGTTGATGAATTGATTTTTGGCAAATTCATCTGTTTCTGGAGGGTCAGTTCAGTCTGCTGGAGATCTGAAAACCTGACCTTTTAGTGTTGCTGTTGCAGACTTTAGGCCCACTTTGTCCATCCCTCTGCAGCCAAGCAGAACATCCCTGAGCCAGCTTGATCCCAGGAAGAGAAAGAAGGATAGTAACACAGGTTGTGCATGATGGATCTAATCCTTGCCTATTCCTGGCACACCTTGAGTGAAAAGGATTTTGAGGAATCTCTCTCCTTAATTCTGGCAGGAATTTAGTGGCCTTTGAAGCAGAGCCAAGCAGACACAGGCTTCGTGGAAACTTGATCCTCTTGCAAGACTCTGAAGCCTTTTCAGCCAGCCCTTAAACACCACTGCTCATATAGTTATGCTACCAGGATTTTTTCCAGCTTCTCATGCTAGTGCAATAATGGTGAAGCACTCAGGGACCAGGTAAAGTAAGGGCAGTGAGGATGTCTTCAGCATCTGCTGACAGCCTCTCTTGGATACTCTGAGGTCCAGCTAAACAACTTGATATGGTTGGCTGCCCACCAGGACAAAGACTGGCTGGATTTCTGCCTCAGAGATTTGGCCTCTTGTTCAAAATCTTCCTAAAGGTCAGTCATCTGGCTAGGATTTCTTCTTGAGCCTTGATCCTATGCAGCTTCTATTTGAGGCACACTGGCCTGTGAAGCTTGTAGCGCAGGCATGCAATGCCCTACTGTCATCACTATAGCCCCAGGGTCAGCACAGAGCTAGGCCTGGTAGATAGGCTTAATAAAGATTTATAGAATGAATATTGGCCTTGAATGGCATGTAGTCAGCAAGGTGCCTGCCTTTCTCATCTCACTCCTGGCTACTTTGTCATGATGGAGGACTTTCTTGGGCCAGTTCCATGGTGTAAGAAATTACAAGGGATTTCTCATTCCTGTGATGTGGCCCATTTCCTGGTTGTGTGGCACTGCCCATCATGCCCTTGAATATGCCATCTTCTTAGCTAGGAATGCCCTCTCATTGTCTTAGCTTGTCTGAACTTTTCCATCTTTGATACCCAGCTCAAATGCTATCTTTGGTGTAACGCCTTCCCAGTTCCTCCAGCTTAGATTACTTTGAATTGTAATTGTTTCTGCATGTCAGTCACCTACTATGTTGGAAAACCTTCAGGGACAGACACTTACCTTTATTCTCACTTATTCATTCACTTGTTTAGAAACAGTGTAAGATAATGATTAAGGGCAGAAACTATGGATTTATAGCTTAGGTTGGGTGTGCAACTTATTGATTATTTAATTTAAAGTGAGTGATTTAAACTCTTTAAACTATTTTTCTCCTCCTCTTCTCCTTCTTCTTCCTCTTCTGCCCCTTCCCTATTCACCTTCTCCTTCTCTTTTTCCTACTCCTTCTCCTTCTCCTTCTCCTTCTCTTTTTCCTACTCCTTCTCCTTCTCCTTCTCCTTCCCCTTCCCCTTCTTTCTCCTTCCCCTTCCTCTTCCCCTTACTTCCCTTTCCCCTTCCCCTTCTTCTCCTTCTTTTTTGAGACAGAATCTTGTTTTTTTGCCCACACTGGATCACCTTCTTGGCGCACCGCAACCTCCATCTCCAGGGTTTAAAAGATTATCCAGCCTCAGCCTCCTGAGTAGCTGGGATTATAGGCATGCACCACCACATCTGGCTAATTTTTATATTTTTAGTAGAGGTGGGATTTCACCATATTGGCCAGGCTGATCTTGAACTTCTGACCTCAAGTGATCCACCCGCCTTGGACTCCCAAGGTGCTGGGATTACAGGTATGAGCTGCCATGTCTAGCCTCTATTTTTCTTATATGTAAGGATGAATATTGTGGTAGTATCAAGTTTTAGAATCATTGGAGGAATTAGACAAATATAGCATTTATTGGACACTTATGCACCAAGCATTATGCTGATAATAGTAATTAATACGATTATTTATTCAACAGTTTTTTGGCACAAATACGGGGACCTGATCCTGTTCTAGGTGCTGCCTCTAGGAGCTAGCAAAATGTTTGCTATAGAGTTGGGGCTTGGTAAATGTTCACTGAATGAGTAAAGCTAGAACAAATTGTGGACTTAAGTTTGTAAATATTTGCGTCAGTCAAATAAGCTGGATTATGCCACGTAACAAACATCTCATCCCCAACATCTCATGGGCTTAATATGACAAAAATGTATTTATCACTCCTCTTATATGGTTAGTATGGGATAGCTGCAATGCTTTTTCTTCAGAGGTCAGGTGGTTTCATCTCAACAGATGCTTTCACAGTCTCTGTGGCAGAGGAAAAGGAATGATGTGTCCTGGTCTTAAAGTGACACATATTATCTCTACTTACATCTTTTTGGCTAGAGCAAGTTACACAGCCTTGCCTAACTTTAAAGGGGAGACAGAATTGCAATTATAATCCTACCCTGTACCCAAAAGGAGAAAAGCCATGATATCTGTGAATATCCCTCATGACTACCACAGCCTGGAAGCTGATGATATAATTTTCTAACACACAAGCCAGTTTTGGCCTACAAAGATCCCCTTGTTCAAAGTCAGTGTCAGCAGCTACTCCCAGGCCTCTGGTTTGGAATTTAGTTTTCAGACTAGGTATTTTTTTTTCTTCTCACTTCCCTACTCAATTATATTTTAAGCAGATGGGTGATCCTGTCAACCTTAAGAAAATAGCAGGAAGAAACAAATTTATGTAAAACATCCCCACATTCTAATTAAATTTTTCTGCCACCCCAAGGTTTGAGCTTGGATGCTGATTTGCACTTAAAAAAAAAATCACGATACAAGCCCAAATTCAAGAAAGCTTGCAAAATGCTTTCATGTTGTTCTCGGCTGACACGTAAATGAAAAGAACACTTTTATTTCCCCTCACAGCAAACACCTTTGTTTTTGTTGCTTGATGGCTTGGAACCAGATTCTGTTTAAAGACAATTAAAAGCATCTTCTAAATGCAG